TATTTTAAGTGCGAGAAAACTCACATCAAAACAAAAAGTGCTCTACTTTCCAGCGGGCATCAACTCCAATAACCAATGGACACAATTCTTCCAAATTTGCTTCAGTAGCTGTAAAACATTTAATGTTTCTGTACTTTGAAGACCAACTCGATACTGTGTATATAAATACATGAAAACCAACTCTATCTTCTGTCTTCCCCTGGACTGAGGTGGCATTTCATAAGCTCTCACCACCTTTTCCCAAGTAGTCTTGGTGTGATCGATCTCTGAGAAATGAGTACATTCCCTGGTTTGCTGCCATTGAAATATGTTGTGAGAGTGTATGATGGTGTGTGTGGGATGGGAATTGAACTGACTCAAGTAGCTATTTATACTGCATTACTTGCAAAAACTGTTCTGCTTCCGCCGGGCATTAACCCTAAAAACCACCAGACAAATATCCATGTATCTGTTTTTATTGAAAATCAGATCTCATTGTTGCATCCATTGATGCTAATGTACTTTAGAGATATTAATATATATATATTGTTTGGCTCAAGAAGATATGAAAGTACACAACATTTAATGCAAATCCCTTTGTTAAGTACCACCCCGCGTATTGGCCACACGAATTTGAATATGGCCAATTAACATTTTTTAAAAAAAAATTGAACCGCCTTTGCATTTAATGCTCAAAAAGTTTTGATAAGACAACATGTTACCACATTAAATGCATAGCCCATGCGGCCTCCCAACTCCCAAGCAACAAAAATTGATTTTATGGCTGCAGATATGACCCTAATACTTAGACCCGATTTTTTTACCCGAATTCACATTTCCGACCCAGTACTTTGGGCGGGAATTCTAGCTACTTTTCCACAGCTGTTTGTATATAGAGAGATTATCACTACCAGAAAAGTGCAATTTTGGCACGGCGTATTGGCACGTTAGGCGTGCGTGCCACGTTTGGCACGACAATAGGCACAACTTTACCCAAAAAATCATGGGGTGAGTAGCTGACTCTACATTGGGCATGATAAGCCTGTGCCAAACAGTGGCATATCAATCTCCGTGCCAAATTCCGTCCGAAATAAACGGCTGTGAAAACTAGTATCGATTCCGTTATAGCCTTGGCACGGCACGACCGTGCCGAAGCATGCTCCCCAAATGTAGTCTTGCACGTGTTGTCCCATAGGCATGCCAAAATGTTACCGTTAGAAAGCCGTCACACAGGCGTGCCTAAGTCTGTGCCAAATCTGTGCATAAGTTCGGGCCCAAATATTAATGTTACCGTAACCATGCCATGGTTGTGCCACTTTCTGTGCCAAAATGTTACCGTGGTCGTAGGCGTGTCAAATGTTGTGCCTAATGCCGTGCCAAAATGGTACTCATGCCGTTAACGCGCCAAATGTCGTGCCAATTATATAGCCGTTGGAATGGTAGGTTAGCTCTGTGCCAAGTCCGTGCCTAACATTATTTACAAATACCTATCCATTTTCAGTTTTGTACTCACCCTCAACTTTTCTTCATTGTTTTTTTTGGATGAAGTGTAAATATATATAGAATCATCCGACAATGTTACATACATCATATGAACAAAAAAAAGTATAGACTATCCCAAGCTAGGATGCCCTATCACCTCAAAAATCTAGATATATCTATTGATCCATGCAACCCATCACAAAAAATAGGTGATGAATCAACGTCAATAAGTTTCAAAAATTAATCATAATATGGTATGTGTATATAGAATAGACACATACACAATGTACTTAAGTTGTGCCAAAATGTCTTCCATCTTAGTCGTGACTCCATCAAAATGGATAGCATTACGAGTTCACCAAATCCAATAGACCGTATAGCAAAGAGATATCCTTATGGATTTAGCTTTGATGTTTGCTCCATTGTGTTCCTCTTTAATTTAGTCCACTTGACCGCACTCCTTAGCGTTGCCTTTTGTCTTGTAAGCCCTAGCCATTGTCTGACCATCCTCCAAACCTGAACTGTAACAACACAACCAAAATATAGGTGTGGTACCTTCTTCGGACCACCCTTACAAAAAGGACATATATTAATCAAGTTAAGAAACCCCAAGTTATCATATGTAGCTAGCCTATTTCTCAAGGCAAGCCACATAGTGAATGAGAACTCTGAGGGCATGTACGGTTTCCAAATAAAAGACATTCATACACGTGGTGTGACTTTGATTTTCAATAAGTCATAGATTTCAGTCGAAGAGAGTTTCCCATATATTCAGAAATGAAAAATTTGAGACTATTGAGTCTCGAAACAAAGCAAAATGTTTCATCAATATGGAATCCATATTCTTTGGAACAAAGGTCCACACATCCCTCCCATGGAGGTAGACCCCATGTACCCATCTAACCTAAAGAGTATCTTGTTTGCAATGTACAGGAGAGGAGAGCATTGTTCCACAACTTTTGTATCTTTTATGCCTACCCACCCACCTATGTTTCCTTTGGTAAGCAAACATCCTCCCAAGAAACCTTTTTTATCCCCCCAAAGGAAGATACGTACGACGTAAGTCCATTATTCTGTCAAGAATGGTTCTAGGAACCAGGAAAATTCCCAACCAAAATGATTGCACACCTTGCATGATATACCTAAGTAACTCAAGTTTCCCTGGACGAGAAAGGAATATTGATTGCATTGATTTTTAGTGTTTATATTTTTACTTTTAATTACTTTTTATGGTGTGTTGTTGTGGTAATTGCACATTTAAGGTGCAATCATTTTATTTTTCTAGTTTGTTGTAATTTAGTAAATTTAGAATCATCTTGAGCAAGAAACAATCAAGAATCAACAAAGGATCATGGAAGGGATCTTACAAGATCAAAGGAAAGTGCAAGGGAACAACAAATCATGCAAGAAATGTGATTTGGTGACTTACCCGGTCGGGTATAGCCTTTACCCGGTCGGGTATGAAGTGACCCGGACAAAAAGACGTGCAGAAAACACAAAATCGTGGGCAAAATATTTGATTTTGACAAATACCCGGTCGGGTATCTCAAATACCCGGCCGGGTATCCGGTGCAGCACCTTCAAAACACCTATAAATAGCCCCATTTTCCTTCACTTTTAAGCATCCCTTCTTCCATACTCTTAAGCTCAATTTAGAATAGTATTCCTTTTATATTTTTATAGCATGTTTAGTCTCCAAATGAGGAGCTAAACTCTTCCATCTTGGTTTTGCTACTTTGAAGCTTAATGAATTTGTAAGTTGTGAGTTATTATCTTTAATCTTCTTCCTTGAATATTAATTCTTTCTTTAAATACTATTTCTATATCAATGTTGGGGAGTGTTACTAAGATGACAATTAGTTAACATCTTGACATTAGTTATAGTAATAGTTATTTCTTCCTCTACGTTAATATCGGGGAATGTTACTAAGATGACAATTAGTTAACATCTTGATATTAACTATAGTAGGATTCATCTTCTTTAATATTCTTTGTTGAGTATTAATTAATTCCTATTCATATTTCATATTAATATTTTGAACATTACTTAAAGGATCAACTAGTTTTGTTTCATATATTAATTAATACTAGAATCGGTCGATTAATACGCTTGTTATTAATTCGGTCCTTTCACGGTAGTAAACTTGGGTTGTTAATGCATGCTTCTCATGGTTAATAAGCCAAGGGGAATTAATTATATTGATTAAACCAATAAACCGCTTGTGTTGAGGTTATCAATCTCAATTGTTTTCATCTTGATTTTATTGCTCCTATCAAGTTAATATACGGCGCTTGTTCTATATTGACTCGGTAGTAAGTTTTATTAATGAACGCGTCTCGTTATTAATAACTACCCTCGATGAACTGGATATACTCCTCGATTGAGTATTCGAGAGGAAGATAGTTAAAGATATAACCGGGATCGACGAACATTTCATTAAGTGGATAAAAGCAAAGCCAAGTCTTCTTCTCATTAATTAAACCACATAACTCGTTCATCTTCGTGTTTAATTTATTAAACCAAATCAAACTAAAACCCCCCATTTTGTTACTAATTCTATAAAAAGAAAAGTATTCCTTTCTCTGTGGATACGAACCTTACTACGCTATACTACGTATAAGTGTTGTATTGTATTATTATTTTGAGTGCACACCGCGACAAAGTGCACGTCCGTCCCATTATTTTTGTCTCATTCCATATTTGGTAATATTTGAGTAGTTAGAATTCATTTCTACTTTATTTACACTTTATCAATTCAATACCAACCACACAATCCTACTTTTTCTTTAAAACCACACCACATCCCTTTATCCCAAACTTAGGGGGACGCTCCTCGTAACATTTATAAAAAAATTGAAAGAATGTGTAGTAAAAAAGAGAAAGTTAGAAGATCAATCGTTGAAGTAACGACCTAATTTCTTTCCCATTTATTGTGTGAATAAAAAATGAGACTATTATTTCACATTTTCTTTTTGTTTTTCTGATGTTGCTACTGTATATTACTTTTTTTCTCATTGATATAATGTTTTGCTGCTCTCAGTGTGGAGAACAGTTAAATTTGACAGTGGACAGCCAAGATCAAGATAAGTTCTCGATAATCAACCGGTTTGCGAAGTTCCACACCCGGGCCCCACCCAATGCCTCATCTTCTCTTTAGATCTTTTCCTACATATTTGGGTTAAAGATTATAGAAGAAAGTGAAGGCTAGAATATGAGAAAACGCATTTTGTTTCTATGATTCTTTTTCTCTCTTCATATGTTATCTTTAAGTCTAATGTCATGACAAGAGGTGAAAATATTATTCTTTTTTTCTTGGTCCATGGTATAAGGGGGCTTTTGTATTTATTTCTATTTTTGAGAAGTGGTTTATTTGTGAAAATATATGTAAAGTGATTAATGGTAAAAATTGAAAGTGTTTGAAAAGAAAAATGATTTTGAAAATGTAAATGTTAAAGTGTTGGATAAAAATTACTTTTTGTGAAATAAAAAATGAAAAAAGTTAAGCATTATTACCGCTTAAATTTCATCTGAAAGACTATTTCAATTGAACACACTATTATTAGCTATTTAAAGCAAAACAAAGAACTGATCAATGTCTTTTTTTAATTAGTCCTCATCAACGGATGTTTTTTAGAATAGATAACTTAATTATTAATAAAACTGAGGACCAGATACAAATTCGCCATAACAAAAGGCTCCAAAGGGTGAGACTCAGAGCTGGATTCATGCTTACAAGCGGACTGTCTTGCTAACCCCGCAATGTGGTAGGCTCCATACATAACAATGTTGTCCCTGCTACTAAAAGGGGAATGAAAACACAAAACAGAGTTCTGAACTGATGAAAAAACAGAAATATAATATAATCCAATTTGGCCAGCCACTGGCTGGCAAGGAAGTAGCAGTTTGACCAGCCCCCGCTAAAGGAACAATCGTCGAGACCTCGCATTTTCCAGCTAATGGCGGTGCTGTCCGGGCAGCACCGCCACTTCCAAGTTTTTTGAGAACGCGTCATCGACATCCATGCTCTCCTATGTCCCCACCTCTCTGTCTGTCTTAGTGACCCTACGCTTTCTGGGCGCATCACTAGATTTAGCAATCTCCTTCCCCTTTGACAAGAGTCTCTCCACCAAGTAGCTTTCCCGTTCCCTTGTTTCTCTATCAGTCTCCACTAGTTTTCCTTGCCTATAACCTTGTTTATTATTGCTAGGAACAAGCCATCTGTTCCCCAGGTGCATTCCTCCCCGCCGCATATCAACCCTCAGCCATGGCCCATACAGGTTTTCTCCAATTCCCAACCCGCTATGTGGATTGGATGGACAAAAACGGTCAGTGTGGCCTAGGATCCCCCACAGAAAACAAAAGTTCGGGAGTCTTTCATATTTAAAATTTGCCCAAATCTAGTCATCCTCCTCATGTCTAACCTGTTGGCGTCGGACTAAAGCCATGGTAACGTTCAAACTGACCCTTATACGCATAACCAGCCTTTGCTTGCCACCAGAAGAGCTCTCATCCAATTGCACAAATGAGCCTAACAAGAATTTGGAATCCTCAATTTCATCAATCGAGACCCCTTTCACTGGTCGCCAAACCATAGTCATAGTTTGGCACAAAGAAACAGCACGAACAGGTTTATCAGACACGACTTTGGCCACCACCGCTAGATTGAAACCTTCTGGAATTTCACCCCGTTCTCAATCGGGTCAGCCACAATCACTAGCCCCCTGTTTTCTTCCTTTGATAACATATTCACGTTCTTCGAAATCATACCCATTTCAACCCAAATCGGAAATCACCGATGCAAACAAATCGGAGATAAAACGAAACACAAACGAAACCTCCCAACAAATAACTACACACGAACAACCAAATAGAACAAAATCATAGCAAACTCTCGACCAAATCAAGCCGGACAGAACCATAGAACAAACGCCCGGAAAAAGAAAAGTTTGGACGAAATCGCCAATTAAAAACTATCAAACCTGCCATAAGGCTTCCCGCAACCCATGTGGTGAAAACCCCAAATTTATAGTATTCACCCCCAAATGAAGTGCAACCCAAGCAAAAAATTGTATATGAGGAAGCCATCGTGTGTATAGGAAACCTTGGGGAGGGATAGCTAAGACCTTCATTCACTCTTATTCTTATGGATGACCAATTGAGCATGAAATTAAGAGGCACGGGAGCCAACATGTGGGACCTATTGTAAAATAAAAAATCTTTTTATTTAAACTATCATAACTTATTTATTTATACTCCAAATTTTATAAAAAATATACCAAAATTCATAATTTTTTATCATCTTTCATTTGACACCAATGAAGCATATATAAATTTAAAAAAGAAATTCAATTGTTGGAAAGTTTTTAATCTAAACTTTTTCTAAGTTTTTAATATTTCATTTTTGAACCTCTTTTTAAATCTGCCCATTTTTTATTTTTTCAAAAATAGGTCTGAAGCAACGAAAAAATTAAACTTCAAATTGATATTGTGCATTTTATTGAAATTTATTTCAAATCGAATCACTTAATTCAAGTGCACACTTTTAAACTTACAAAAAAAATTAATTCACTTTTTTTTAATTTTTGTACATTGGAATGTTTGACTTTTAAAATCATAATTACATATAAAAATAAAAATGTCGCATAAATAATGTGTAATAAAAAAGTAAAGGATTCAAACATTTAATTAAAAATAAAATGTGCTGAGTGAATATATATTGACGGTGCTGGGTTGCAGAGAAAAACTGAATTGACTGAGTGAATACGTATAAACTGGAATGTAATTAGATTTATTGACGGACTAGGTTGCGGTTAATCTAAGGGGATGAAACACCGCACCTCCTCTGTAAGGCTAGCTCAATTATCAATCATCGGCTGCTCCTTGGGCCGCCGCAGGCATCGCGCCGCTGCTAGGGTTTTCGTAGCATCGCATTTGTTTTCTTAATATACGGAGTATATTCTCACAGATTCTTTATTTTGAGTATTAGTCGGTAACCCTTGCATAACTGTAAATTTGATTTTTTTTTATGGTTGTAAATTTGAATTTGAAAAACAAGTTAGTGCACTTTTTTAATGTTACCCAAATTTTAAAGTTCCCGTTTCAACATATTTCATCGCCAAACCTATTTTTATGGAAATTTCTAATGATTAAACATGATGATAACAAAAACATAAAAAGTACTACGTAACATATATTGAAAAGATCTCTAAAATGGAAAAATCATGCATTAGAATTTAGAATAGTGTGCGTAATCTACACTTATGAGTAGTACTAAATTAATTCCATCTCTGCAATCTATTTTTAACGCAAGTGCGGGTTTGAATTTTACTATCGTGACAGATTGAGTTTATCTTGTTATTAGGGTTGTATACGAACCGAATCGAGTCGAATAGTAGGATTTTGTATTTGTATTTGTTTAATTTTTTCGAATACGAATTCGAATTCAAATATGAAACGAATATTAATTTGAATTTGTATTTGTATTTGTTTAACAATACGAATAGTTAACGAATCTTATACGAATATCGAATAGATTTGAGCATAGGTTAAATATTAGTCAAATATCACTTAAAATTAAATTTTCTTATAGTTTTTTATGTTGTAAACGTACACTATGATTTAATATGTGTTTTTAGAATTTAAATTCAATGGATCAATGCATTTTTAGATTGTGCACGATATACTAAAATGAATCAATTTTTTGATTAATAAATATAAATCTATTTCAAACTTTTTGAAATAAACACTAACATATACTACATCCGTCCCGCTGGAAGGTTCTCATAGCAAAACGGCACGATTATTTAGGTGATAATTGAATAAAGTACTTCGGGTATATTTCGAGAAATAATTTTAATAGGTATATATTATAATGTCTTAGTATTGATAACGGTTATGTTATAAATGTATTATTTGTAATATTTAATGACTAATTTGTAACTTAAGATTGTTAATTGTTTCCTAAAATGGAAATGAGAACCTTCTAATGGGACATCCAAAAAAGGAAAGTGAGAACCTTCTAACGGGACGGAGGGAGTACAAATTAGAAATTACACTTATAATGTGTGAAATAAGTTGATAATTGTATATATCAAAGTCAGACGACTCTAATTTTATTCTGCGAATCGAATACATAATTACTTGTATTGTATTTGAAAGAATTTGAACCAATACTCCGATTTGTATTCGTATTTATACTCTGATTTATTACAAATGGACTTAGAATTTGTATGGGTAAATGTATATATGAACTACACTTTAGGGTATTGCTATCTTTTAAAAGTTATTATAGTGTTATTACTATTATTCTTATTATTATTATTATTATTATTATTATTATTATTATTATAAATATTATCACTATTATTAATCGAATATATTTGATTAATATTCGAATCGAATACACTGATATTCTTATTTGTATTTGATAACAAATCGAATCAAATTTAATATTCATATTTGTATTTGTATTTGAATTTTCCGAATTCGAATCGTCTTATACGAATTCGAATCGCGAATCGAGCACAAATTATTTGATTCGTTTACCACCCTACTTGTTATGCCAGAAAGTTTATATAAGCACTATCTCAAAGTTTAGTATATGTGTGAAACAGAATGCCAATTTGCCATAACATTTACTCCGTAGTTTTATGTTTATTTAGAGGCCGTTTAACAACATTGTTTTTCGGTTTATCAGACTTCTAAATCAACTTTTTCATCAAATACGTAAATTTTGCTTTCGCGCGCTGAATTGTGTAACAAAGCAGAAAAAGTATGATTAGAGTTACTTTTTTTGGCTACATTGGCTAAAGTTACTGTAGTCCGTAGAAGACCATTTTAACTATTTTTACATATATATTTTTCTTTATTTCATTAATAAAATATATTTTAAAATAATCAGCCGATTTTCGTGCCAATGCAGCAGCTTCAGCTAGAACTTCATAAATTTTAGCAGAATCAGCCGATTTTCGTTCAACCAAACGGACTTTTAATTAATTGTTTTCTATCGTCACAAGAGTATTAATTTGGGAAAATGGAAACTAATAATCCAACCTCTTAGCGGTATTCTTTTAATAGTCCCACCTTTTTGTTATTCATGAATAATCCAACCTTTGCACCTCATCTTCATTCACTGGTCCCTGACCGGTTGATGACTTGCTTTTCCAAGTTATTTTCTTATCTTTGCAAAATATTATATTTGTGAAAGATGGAATTTATGGTATAATAGTTTTCAGAGATAAGAAAATAACTCGGAATAGCAGGTCATCAACCGGTCGGGGACCAATGAATGAAAATGATATGCAAAGAATGGATTATTCATGAATAATGAAAAGATCGGACTATTAAAAGAAGACCGCTAAAAGGTTGAATTATTAGTTTCCATTTTTCCTTTCTTATGTGAAATGAGCTACCATAGTTTTGAATTGAACCTATTAATTTCCGTAGAAAAAACTAGCTACATTATTCTTCCTACACAATTGAGTTGAGTTTTGCTCGATCGTCTACTAATTGGAGTAGGGGTCTGTTTGCAATCCATTAAAAAAAGTGCTTTTAACTTTTTTAAGAAAAAACACTTATTTTACCAAATATTATCAACTTTTACTTTCTCGGCTTCCGTGTAGAATCTACTTTTTACTTTTTCTATTACACAAAAAGCACTTATTTTACCAAATACTACCAACTTTTACTACTAATCATTTTTTCCCCAAAAGTGCTCTTATTTAAGCACAAGTGATTGCAAACAAAGCCTAGATCTTGCACTCGTTTATCTACTTATAATGTGTATGTATTTGTGATCGCACAATTATCAAATGACATAAATTATATACACAGACTTTGGAAAACCCAGATGATCGTAGATAATGTGTGGATTTGTTATCGGTGCAACTCAGTATACGAATAGAGTAATACAAAGTAATTTCCAATTCCATTTAGGAAATACTGATACCACTTAATACGGAGTAATAATTTTCGGTTCAGTAGGCGTGCAAAATTCATATCTTCCGCCGAATAACAGTCTTTTCAATTTTCACAAAACGAGACTCTTCAGATAAGGAGTACTTCGTATGCTCGCCAGCATTTCCGATCAAAAGGCAAGCTCTTTCCGCTCTCGGTTCAATATCACAACGTAATCCAGAGAGAAAAGGATTCTAAGAAAATGGAACAGAGCAGAAGAAGAGAAAGTGCAGAAGGAGAAGGTCCAGCGATAGGGATCGATCTGGGAACAACATACTCTTGTGTCGGAGTTTGGGAGCCACAGCATGAGCGTGTCGAAATCATCACCAACGATTTAGGCACCCGTACGACGCCGTCGTGGGTTGCCTTCACCGTCGTGGGTTGCCTTCACCTTCTGTCCCTGGTAACGTTCAAGGAAGAAGATGAAGGTACTGCAGCTTTCCCTCAATCCCACTAATTTTGTCACTTTCCCTTTTAAGTAAAGAATTTGTAATTCCAATTAATTCTCTCTCCTCTGCACAAACATCAACCGCACAGTTTTTACTTTACTAATCTCCGTGTTAGTCAAACTTCACAAAGTTTTAAGGGAAGGAGCACCGAGGTAGCAATTGGATTGGATTATAGGTTTTGTAAGACAAAAATGCTCTTTGCACACTATTCTTACACACTGATACATACTATAAACACTATTTTTACATTTACCATTTCACAATCAACTTTACCCCCTTTTCTCTCCTTCTCCTACGCCCCTTCCCTCCCTTCCCTTTCTTTCTCTTTTCTCCCATTTCTTTCTCTTGTACCCAGTACCCTTCCTTCTTCAACTCCTTTGTCCTCCAGGTAGGGGCGGCCCTAGGGAGGGTGCAAGGGGAGGCGGGGAGCGACGACCCTATGCTCCAAAAAAATGGAAAAAATTTAGGCCCAGTTATAGTTCTTTATAATATGTGTGAGTAGAATGAGTTTTGAGCCCTAAACTAATAATTTTTCGGGTGATTTTTTTTAGGTGCTTCCAAGTGATTATTTTTTATGAGAATTTGTAAATGTGTTCTTTATGAAGTTTATATTATGTCAAAAAAGTTTTAGTTTAAAATTCACAATCTATAAGTCGGTTAAATAAATCATTGAAAAACATTGTGTTTTATGCATATTTTTCCACAGTGTTTTTGATAAATTATTTCTATGACTCATTGATTGAATTTTAAAATGAAATTTTATGGACATAATCTAAACTTGATGAAAAACGTGTTCATAAAATTTTGTACAAAATTCAACCTCGAAACAAATTAGTCTGATATGATTATTTGATTAGTTTATTAATTATTTTCATTCATAGTTGATTATTGGATTTCTTAATTGTTGATTATTATCTATTAAGTGTTGGTGTAATAATTTGATGATTTTTTTCACATGAAAAAATTCAATTATAATTAAATTGATAAATTTAATTATTTTCAAGGTATAATAAAAAATAATTGAATCTGGATAGGACAAAGAAAAAAGAGAAAAGTATTAGAGAAAGTGGTGCTAAATAAAAGTGGTTCAATGAAAAAGTCTGTTTGTGTAAAAAAGTCGAATTTCAAATACCTTCAAGACAAGAATTCTGAGAAGAAGAAAGATTTAGTTGTCGAAAATGAAACAATTCAGAATGATCACATCATTATAATTAATTCTTTAAATAAGACTAAACATTGGTAAAGTGCACCAATATGACCACATGTGTTTTCTTTCTGAATAACGACCACCAATATTATACGGTTATATTATTGATTTAGATAGAAGAGGGTTTTACAATATTTCTAAATGTTTTGATTTTGTTTAATGGTTGTTATTATTATTATTTATGTTAGTTTAGACAAAAAAAAGTTTTGTTGTTTTTGTAAGATTAGGCCCGTTTTATTTTTCGGGCCCATGTCCACGTAAAACAACCTGAACAATCGAGTTCTTTCTGTTAAATTCAAGGACAAGACCAACAAAGATTCCATTTTTACTGCCACCCTGTCGCCTTTACAGGTCCGGTCAGGCATCGGTGGCAACCAGGGACGGCCCCCCTTGGACTTTCAAAATTTTCTACTATATATGTAGTATTTTCATAAAATTTTCATACTTTAATTTGATATATATGTGTTCGCCCCCCTTGACTTTTAGTTTTCAAAGTTGATATATAGTCTTACATAGTGTAATACTTTATTAGAGATTTAAAAGAAGTAAGATCTAAAATAAATAGATAGTTTAAGACTTAGGGTACCTATTACATAAAAATTCCTAGGTTTTGTAATATTTGATTATCTTTATAGATAATTAGTTTTAAATTTTGTAAAAGAACAAATGATATTAAATATCAGACACACCAGTTAAACAGTTTTAAATCATGTGAAGTGAATCCAAAATATAAATGTTTGTTGACATTAAATTATACAATTCATTTACTTCTTACTTTCTAAAAGCAATTTATTGCATAAATAATAAACTTTAACGTATTTTAGCATTAATACAAATATAATATGTACCATATATATGAATTAACAATACTATATACTCCTTCTAAAGATAATAATCTCATACATACTATTGTAATATTAAAAAACTTCTCGTAACCCATGAACACCCTCCTTGGTAGACAAAAACTACAATTCAAAAATCATTTCTTTATTCCGATAAGATTCGTGTGGTTAAACAAGACATAAGTTATTTAAAAGGCATCGAATGATGTTTAAATACCTTTCAAATTTTTTACCTTCAAACAATTCGACAAAATGTTATATATCCTTTTCTATTTTCAAATAAATTTCCTTTGATTTGCAATTTCTTATGCTTTAATGTATCAGTACTTAATTTTTTATAGAGCATTCACGGTTACAAAATTAAAGTTATTTTTTCATTCTCTAAACTTAAAATGTAATAGATTTAAATGTTATCGTGTATGCACTAATGATTTTTGTTTTTTTGAAAAAAATTAGCCGCGCAACCCTATAATAGTGAAAAATTTCATCTCGCTATAGTAGTGAAAAAAAAATTCCCCGCTACATTAGCGAAAAAAAATTCTCCGCTACACTAGCGGAAAAAAAATTCCCCGCTACACTAGCGAATTTTTTTTGCCCCCTACACTAACGAAAATATTTCGCCCCTTGACTCCAATTCCTAGATCCGTCCCTGGTGGCAGAAAGAGCCAGCACATATCTCCCCGTCAAACCCTCTCCAGCTTACGAGTGGCTATTTTTTCAACTGTGAATTTGCTTTCTTCTCCCAAAACCTTGTTCATATAGGTATTTATTCCATTTTTGTGCATTTTGCAGTCACAATTAATTCTGTTTTTTCGGATTTATGTATGTAATATACTCCATATGTTGTAATGTTAAATGCTTATTTACATTGCTATATCCTTATACGGTTATGATGTTAATATTGAAATTTTTGTTCAACTATTCTATTTCACTTTTTATGTTCACAAGGTGTTTGTTGAAATGTTTTAATGATTTTATTCAACTATTCTAATTCATATACACGATTTTGTGTGTTCATTCTCCTTTTATGCCAATGCGTTTTTATGCTTGATGGATTTTAAATGTCACTTTCTATACCTTAAATGTGGAACACATGAAATAGATTTTTACTTCAATGGTTGGAAGCTTTTATGAGTTTAAAAGGCATGCAATTCCAAATGTGTCGCTTCAATTTGATTATTGACTTATCCAGTTATATCCGTATATGTATCTGTTTATGTGAAAGAAGTGAATGTTTTTAGTAATGGCTAATAAGAACAAAGAGAGGAGTAGCAGTTGTTCAAGATGGTCTCTCTCGAGGATGACCGCTCTTGTTACTGGAGGCACTCGTGGAATCAGGCTTGCGGTAGTGGAGAAACTGGCTGAAATGAGCGCTTGTGTATACTCATGTTCTAGGAATGAAGAACAGTTGAACCAGTGCTTGCAAGATTGGGCTTCTAAAGGCCTCAAAATTGGGCTCCTAAAGGCCTCAAAGTCTCGGTTCCGTCTTTGACATCACGTCCAGAGATCAACGTGTGCTTCTCTCGCTGAAGGTTTCCTCTGCCTTTGATTGATGGCAAGCTCAATATTTTTGTTAACAATGTTGGGAAATCTATTTTGAAGCCTACCGTTGAGTATGCAGCTGAAGAATACTCGTATGTAATGCATTGGTATATGTTACTGGCTTAGAGTCTTCTTACCATGTTGCTGGCTTGGTACATGTTTCCGTTGGATCTATTTATGGCGCTACCAAAGGAGCTATGAACCAACTTACTAAGAACATGGATTGTGTAGCACCTTGGTATATCAAAACCTCTCTGGCTGAAGAGGTACTTGCAAACAAAGAGTATCTGAAGAGGGAACCTGAAGAGGTTTTCATCACTGATTGCTTTCCTTGGTCTTCCAATTCTCTTATGTAACTGCTCAAGTTGTTCATGTTGATGGTGCTACTGTGAATGACTTTGATTGCATCCAATTGATTTCTTTGATTGCATTTTGCTATTTTCTTTTCGGATCCTTTGTAAATAATATTACTTCTACCATTTTAATTAAAAAAATGTACGGTTAAAAATGTTAGTGTATATTATGTTTATTTACAAATATGTATCTTATTGGTTATGAAAACAAGTATGACTTTGGTGTTATTGAGAATGTGATGTTATTTTGCCATATAGACAATACAAACACTTGTTTGCTACACACAGGCAAAATAAACTAACACACAAAGAATTATTTCTACGCACAAACAAGATATAAATGAACACATGAATCTATCTCTATATAAAAAGAAGTGAAAAAATTGGCGGGTTTCCCGCCCAAAAATTTGGGTTAAATAACGGGTCGGGTTATTCAAAGCCAGTGAGCATTAACGGAGGTAATTTATTTTGATAGGTTCATTCTGTCATTCACCAGTCACGTGAAAAAGACTATTCATGATTAAAGTGAGATGCATGTCAGAGTTTTCTGCCTATTGACATTTGGTTTTTCATGGTCTTAAAAAACATACGGAATATATAGCCAAACTCCACACATTCAAATCTCAGAATCTCATGTGCGCATGCATACATATATATATACGGGCATAATAAGGCTATTCGAGGGTACTATTGGCGAGGGGCTGGGATTCTGAGAAAGGCAAAAGATGGGGCGGTCGAGATAAGCAGAAAGGTGGTGGAGATGGCTGGAGACGCGGCTAAGAGGTCGGGCATATGACGTGCGTAGAGGAGAAAACAAGCTCGGGCATGCATCAAAGAGGGGCTGGGCAAGGCGAGAGATATAGCAGTATGTAGATATAATATATATTCATGGCGCAGGCGGCGATAAGGAAGGCACATGGCGCGGAGGAAGGAACGAGGCAGGCGGTCAAGGTGGCATCCGCAAGGTTATAGACACAGTAGTGGGTGGATATATAAAGGCCACAGGCCGGGGCGGCAGAGAAAGTGTACGTACGAGGTGGAGGAAGGAGCCAGGGATTGCTAAGTGGGTCACGTTGACCGGTTGGCTGAATGGGACTCAAATTCAGCCGGGGAGTCGACCGCAACGGCTGCAAAAAGACAACAAGCTTGAAAGACCATAGAATGTTACTCCGAATAAGATTGAGCAAAAATTTTATAAAGAGGCGTTGGCCTAACTCATGCAGTCATGCTCTTCTCCCCTCAAAAAACATTGTGATAAGTACAAGAGCATTTAATTTCTGATATAGGCTTATAGAGTGCGTTGGAAATATAAGTACAAGAGCATTTAATTATTTATTGGAAGTCTGAACTGTATACTTAGAGCTGAACCAAAGAATATATCGGTTAATTTATGATCTATAGAAAGTTAGTTGAACGGAGTATTATTAGAAATGGTCATCCTTTGTTATCCTTTGTAAACAATGCCACCGTTTGTGTCTTGGGCAGTAATGTGCATATATAGTCTTGAAAACGGACATGACGTTTTTTTAGAAAGTACTTTTTTTTTGAAAACGGACATGACATTCAGCTTTAATAATAAGATTTTGGTGGTATCTTAAAAAGTGAGTCAATCCGGTTCACTTAATTCGGGTAAAACAGTACTCCGTCTTAAAAGGTGCGCCGGCAGAACTTCATAAAAATGTGATCTCAATGAATTGCTTTATCCTTTGGTTAACAAGAGTATGTGTCCAATGTGTTCCTTTTCGACCTTATACACACATTACATTACATTTTTTTTTCTATTCATTGTCTAATAGATAGTATATATCCTTTATCTAAAAGTAAACATCTTTGCACATATATTTCCAATCCAATCCAATATTATACAGAGTATTTTTATGCTTTTTTACACAATAGGTTACTTTTGTTGTAGTGTAACTATAAATAATACTATAGTGTTGGGATATTGGGTCCAGGCCCAATATCTCTAGGCCCAAATCCGGGAAGAAGCAGCAAGCCCAAAGAACTCCCGAACGACATTCGGGATAAAACTTATACTTGGAACATTCTGGGTAACGATTATGCCAAGGTATCAAGGCCCAAATATCGATCGGCGTTCGGGATACTTCAGGTAGAAATTATCACCTATGGCGGGGTCCCACACACCGAACACCTTGCCCGAACGGGCAGTCAGCAAGTGGAGGCCGCATTTAATGCTGGATCATGACAGCTGCAAGTGGGGGCATGAGTGCTTACATGGCAGAGGTGATAGCCTACCAGATTCGACCACGTGTCCACCTTACCCATCCCCATCTTAGTATAAATATCCATGTTTAGATCATTGTAAAGGGTTAGCATTCTAATACTCAGAGCTTAGCAATAGATTTACATCTTCCATCCTTGTAATCTCATATTCATCTACCGTTCGAGTAGTTCTAGTGTAATCACATATTTATTGAATACCAGTAAGCTTCTGAGTTGAATATCTCACTGTTTTATATTTTATACACATTTTAATCCAACCCAATATCCCTACAATATCCAAGGCTTGTGTTGGGCTTTCGGATCTTCGGGAATAAACCTCAACATCGGCGCCGTCTGTGGGAAACGACACTAAAAGTCCAGGCAAAGCCGTGATCTAAGCACCATTTTTTCTTGAAAATGGCTAGACTTACTACCGCGACACCGAGTTCTACATCCAGAGGCCGAGGAGGCAATAGATCCTCTGAGGGGTGGTCCATGCAAGGACACGCCAGTGGCAGTGCCACCCGGGAGTTCGAGCAAATCATCCCCCGGGATGTAAGGATGAACCCTCAGTTGATGAGGGAGATGGCAGAGGCCATGCAACGCATGGCGGACGAACAGGAACAGGGCTACACCGGTGAAACTCGTGAGCCACCATCCCCGTTGCGTCCCATGCCATCTTTCGACGAAGAGGAGGACATTGAGACCACGATGGCCTCAGTTCATTCCGAGGAACACCGCAGGAACCACTGGAGGGCCCATACCCCCAGACGTGAAGCACCAACCAGCCGAACCCCGTCCGCCCCTCGAAACGGATATAGGGAACCTACCCCCATGATAGATCCCGTTGGACAACATTTCCAGTATATCCAGAGGGATGGGGAACGCTTCATCCGGAGAAGAGCTAACACAACTGCCCCTCCCCAAAACAGAATACCGGAATATGTGGATGCTAGGATACCACACACTCCCCGAACGGCCCAAGACGACGAAATGGCCGAAATGAGAAGACAGATGACTGAGCTCAGAGAGCAGGTCAATCGGACGCCCCAACAAACCCCGCCAGCACGGGTTGGGATCACATCTCCCTTTACTAGGGAAATCATGAACGCCGAAATCCTGAGGGACTGCCGTCCCTCGACCGGTTTAACATACGATGGGGTGGGAGATCCCCACGTACACCTGAGGAGTTACCAGGGTGGCCTCATGCTGCTAGGGGCCACCGACGCGGCAATATGCAGGCTGTTCTTCAGCACCCTTCGGGGACCAGCCCAGGAATGGTTCGGAACATTGCAACCCGGATCGATCGGAAGCTTTGCAGAGCTATCCACCTTATTCTTGGCCCAGTTCGCCTCCAGCACAACCCCGAAGCTGCATTTCGGGTATCTGACCAGTGTGAGACAAGGACCGAAGGAATCAATTTCCGAGTTCCTCACCAGGTGGAGGACTGAAACCGTGAAGGTGACCGGCATGACGGATGAAACTGCCATCCTTCTTTTTACCGATGCCCTTCAGACGGGGGATTTATACAGAGAGCTGAATAGAAACCCGGGAACCAGCTACCCAGACATCCTGGAAAGGGCCAGGGGTCATGCGGCCTTGGAAGAAGAGATCAAGATAAGGGACCGAACGGCCCCACAGCCTCCCACTTCAAGGCTGGCAGAATGTTTGGGACCCGCATCGGCAGCAGCAGCACCTCATCGCAGGACTGCGCGCTTCACCCCCCTGGTCATGTCTATAGCCGGTGTTTTTCATTTGGAACACAATGCTATTCCTCCCCCTACTGACACAAGGCCCGTGATGGGACCTACCCCGAATGCCTACTGTAGGTACCACCAACGGAATGGACACTTCACAAAGGATTGTCACGCCCTACATGTGGCAATTGAGGACCTGATCCAAAAGGGCTACCTGAGGAAGTATGTCAGCACCAACCCGAACAGCCCTTCCCCCAACCAGCGCCCTCCCCGATCCAATAGCTGGAAGCGGGATGTCCAGCGGGATGCAGAACCCAGTAATGATTCATACCTCCCCCCTATAGAGGAGGCTGAGGGATCCGGGAATCCGGGAAAAAAGCCACGATTAGAGGTGAAAGTCATCTTTGGTGGAGGAGAGACCGGGGATACGGCCGCCGAACGTAAGAAGTTTGAGCGCAGCCTCTATGTCGCCACTGTGGCTGCACCTCCCACAAAGAAGGGCCGCTTGGAGCCAATTACGTTCGGGGTGGCTGATCTACCCAACTCACCAAGTCCGCACAGGGACGAGCTAGTGGTGAGTATGTGTATAGACAACGCCTTGATCCACCGAGTTCTGGTGGACACGGGAAGTAGTGTGAACGTGCTGTATTTACGCACGTTGGAGAAGATGAAGCTGAAGAAGGACCAGCTGACCAAGCTGAAGACGCCGCTGGCTAGCTTCACCGGCAATGTAATAGAGGCTGAGGGCACCATCCAGCTTCTGGTGGAAATTGGTGATGAAATCCACCGAGCGGCAGTCCGGATGACGTTTGTGGTGGTGGATATTGCATGTGCCCACAACGCCATATTGGACCGTCCGGGCCTAGAAGATTTGGAGGCAATTGCCTCTGTTCGACACTCATGCATCAAATTCCCAACTGACACTGGTGTAGGAGTGGCCCGAACAGATCCTGCCATAGCCCGAACGTGCTACCGGGAAGCTTTGAAACAAATGACCACCCGGGGACAGCGGGTAAACAGCATTGAGGTGCAGACCCGGCGTACGGAGTTCGAGGGACGCCCCGAGCCAGCCACCCTCCTAGAATACATCGAGCTTGATTCCCCTCCCGATCGTAAGATTGCGATCGGGGTGGACCTTGAAGGGGAAATCAGGGAGGGGGTGATCGCTGTCCTGAAGAGATTCCAGGTCCTATTTGCCCGAGGACCCGAAGACATGCCGGGAATTGATCCGGC